TTTGAATGATACCCAGCCCTAGGCCTGACAACATCTCATCTGACCGCAGTTCACTGTTGTTCTACTGAAGCTCCCTCATCACCTGTACCTTTTCCGTGTTCATTTGACTAGCGTCTGGCGCTGAGGCGAAGTTGGAGTGCGCGTCTGAAAAGTCTCCCGTTTGATGTGGTCTTAAAGACAGAAGCAGCAGTTGTGAGTGGTGTGGCCCACCCTAGCTCCGGCCCCGCGTTAATTGTGTTAAATATTTTTAACGCGTTAACCTGAAAATACTAATCGCCTGCATTAACGAGCTAATTTTGACAGCACTAACTACAATATAATACAATCAATCTATAATCTATTGAGACATCAGGGAGAGGAAAGCAAGTCTGTAGTTAAAGTTGTAGTGTTAATTACTCAACTTTTACAGTTTGCTTCATGTAACAGTTAGTTGTAATACCATGCATAAATAAGAGATTCATTTTTAATTCAGATGTAGTTATTTGGGTTTGTTCACAAAATAATATTTTTGCTTTGTTTAGGCTACTTGCTTATGTTTCTGACTTGAATGTGTGAGGAATGTGGTATGAGTTCCCCAGGTGCAATGGAAAACACAATTTTTTCCACATAAAAATGGTACTATAAAATACCTAACAAGTGTACAAAACAGGAAATCAAGTTTTACTCACCGCAAACCTGATGTTTTAATTGTGATTACTCTTCCTTTACCGCTGCCAGGGCAAACCCTAGAAATCACCCAGTATTTCTAAAGAGTGACAAAGGTAAGAAAACAACAGTGTAAAACAGTGTCTGGTACATTTCCTTACTGTATTGACAATTTACAAAAAAATGAAAAGAATTTCATGCACAGACAAAAACACAACATGGTAGCGCAGAATTAATCTCATAAAGGACTAAAAACAATGATGGTTACACAATACACAACAATGGTGAAACTACATTAACATTACATTTATTAATTCAGCAGACTATTTTATTCAAAGCAGCTTACAAAACGTTAAACTTCATAAATATTTTATCTTAAGAGCTATAAGCTCAATTGAGTATTGAGTAGCAAAAAGTAATTTGTTGAGGTATTTTTAGGTTCCTGACATTTAAAGGGTTAAGGCATCATGGTATCTTAACGAGTCCAGCAACCAAATCAGGCTGCTTTTCGATCTCAAAGGAAGGCATGTAATGGTGTCCTTAAAAACAATAGCAACCACAAATACAATAAAGGTATACTGGCGGTACATGTACACATCTATTACAACAGGAAGATTATGGGAAAATTCACAGCTCAAGCCAAATAAAACGCAACACCATTAACGTTACATTAGTAATCCCACATTACAAGCCTAAACAACACGCTACGTTAGCAAAGTTGACTAAAGGCTGATTTATACTTCTGCGTCGGACCTACGCCGTAGCCTTTACGCCGTAGGCTATGCGTCAGTTTTCATTTATACTTCTGCGTCTGTGTCCGCGTCAACGTGCAGTACACATGCAAACCGCTAGTCTGCAGTGTCCACGGGCCTGTTGCTGGTGTAACCCGCAGTACCACGGCAAAAGCCGAAGAAGAAGCGGCTCGTCGGAGAAGCATTATAGCCGTGACGGCGGCATATAAATATCAAATAATTAAATCATTATTTAAAACTACAAAAAGGAGACAACAACGGAACAGGAGATGATGGCATTCTTTCAATCTGCACAATGACTTGTACCACGGCAGATCAACATTATTTGTTGCGGACAACTACTGATGTATATAATGCTATGTAGTATAATAAATGATAAGACACTTGGCCTTTGCTTTGTTTTATTTTATATAAGAAGGTGTAACATTAAAATATATTAAAGTGCACATAAACACACA